TTTTTTTTTTTTTTTATTTTTTTTTTTTTTTTTTTTTTTTTTTTTTTTTTTTTTTTGTTTTTTTTTTTTTTTTTTTTGGAAATTTCTCTCTTTGTTGATATTCTCATTTTGTCTGTTCTTTGTTTTTCTGATTTTATTTATTGTGTGTGTTTCTTTTAATTTACTGAGCATCTCTCTTACAGGTATTTTAAGTTCTTTGTCTGGCAACTCAGATCTGAATTTTTTCAGGGTCAGGTTTTGGAATTTTATTTTATTCCTTTGATTAGATGATGTTTTCCTGTTTCTTTTACACCTTGTCCTGTTTTGCTGAGATTTGACCATTTGAATAAACAACCACCTCTCCCAGTCTCATGAACTGGCTTTGCGCCTGAGAAGACCTTCGCCCAGCTAGAGATTCTAGAATTCTCAAACCTTGTCTGGGGTGTATCTTCTCTGGGCTGTGCGTGCTTCTACCTGCTTCAGATCCCCTAGCAGCTTGCCCCTGCGTTTTCTCAGAAGCCAGTAATCTTGTATTCACCCTGCACAACAGCAGCTCCAATGTGCCATGACCTTGCCTATGTTTCCAGTGGCTCCAAATTGTGCCGTTGTTCGTCCCTGAGAGGTCCAGGTTGGGTAAGACAGTAACCAGTCTCTGTCTATGACATCCGCCAGATAAGCCAGAACATTGGATGTTCAATAAAATCTTACATTTCTGTCCTGGTGTGGGAGCCTGGTATGGGAGTTTTCCTCCTAGATGCACTGTACCAGGTTAGGCAGGGGCATAGATGGGTGTGCAGAATTCCATCAAATTTCCTACCCCTTTTGTTGGAATCTCTTCTTGGTTTTATGTTGGCCTGGATGTTTAGATTCGCAAATGGTCTCTAGATTTCTTGCAAAGATATTCTGGTCCATATAATTTTATTTCTGAGGCTTGGGACTGTACTGAAGTGTATATTTAGGAGCCATCATCATATAGCTGGTAATCGAAGCATATGGAGTAAATGAGAATATGTAGGTGAGAAACAGGCCTCATCTAGACTCTCAAGTATATCGACATTTAAAGATGGATAACAGGAAAATGAGAGGAAGCATCCAAAAAGGTGGGTAAGAGCCAGGACAAGGTTGTATCATAAAAGCAAAGAGCCCTAAAATGAGGAGGGCAAAATAATACAGTGGTACTTCGGTTTTCAAATGTCTCTGTTGACGAACATTTAGTTTTATGAACGCAGTAAACCCAGAAGGAAATGCTTGGGTTTTCGAACATGCCTCAGAAGTCGAACATGCCACACGGCTTCTGCTGAGGGCAAGATCCTGAGGCCTAGCTTTTGGCTGTTGATCCCTCGGTTTTCTCATGTTTCGGAACTCGAACGGTGTTTCAGTACAGATTAAATTCGAAAACCGAGGTACCACTGTAATTACCAACACTTACAGCGTACTTACCATATGCCAGGAGCTGTTGTAAGGACTTTTTCATATGTTTAAAAAAAATAATCCTAAAAATTGTATGTACATTTGGTACTATTTTAACGCTCTGTTTTATAGATAGGGAAGTGAGGCAGCGATCATGCAGCTAGTAATGTGTACATTTGTTCCAAGTGTGCTCCTGTTCATTATTTGTAATATAAAAAATTCAGAAATGCTTTAACATCTGTCAGTTGGGGATTGGTTATACCTTGGTTCATGGAATATAATGAAGCAATTGAAAAAGGCAGGTCTTTATAATTGGAAATGAAATAATTCCATAATATGCTGTTGAATATAAAGTTAGTTGCAGTGTGTACGGTTTTGTTTCTTCAAAAAAAAATTTTTAAGTACATTTGTTTGTGTATATCACAGTATGTGCATAGGAAAGTGAGGAGGGATATACATGAAATTGTTAACTGGGTGTTTCTGGGAAGTGAGCAGCAATTTTCATTTTCATTTTTTTATTTTTTAATCCTCACCCAAGGATTTTTTTCCATTGCTTTTCGGGGGTCGGGGGAGAGAGAAACATCGATGTGAGAGACACATTGATTGACACATCGATTGGCCACTTTCTGCACTCCAGGGCCAGAGATTGAGCCCGCAACCCAGATACATGCCCCTCACCAAAATTGAACCCTGGACCCCTCAGTCCAAGGGCTGATGCTCTAACCACTGAGCAAACCAGCCAGGGCACAATTTTATTTTTAATTAATATATTCATTAATATATTTAACACAGCATAAAAAAACCTTATTTAAAGAAGATTCAGTTGAGCTAAAAAATCTGGAGAAATTAGGTGGAGATATATATATATATATATATATATATATTGTTTATTTCTACAAAAATAAATTAGCCAGTTTGAATAAGGAATTTAGCCATAGGAGTGAGTCTTCTCAGAAGACTAGATTCTGGGGTTTTTAGGGAAAACTACTCAGATCTCAGAGGTTGAGGAGTGAGTAGTAGAAAAGGCAACAATTAACAATGACGCTTTATAAATGAAAGTATAAATCTTAATGCTAACTCCGTATCAAAATTAAAAGATTAAATCTTTTTTAAAATTATAGGACAATAGAGTTCACATCGGACCAAAAATGGAAATTCGAGTTGTCACATTAGGATTAGATGGTGCTGGAAAAACTACTATTTTGTTTAAGTTAAAACAGGATGAGTTTATGCAGCCTATTCCAACAATTGGTAAGTATGAGTATTGCTTTTTACCTTACTGGATGTTTTATTAACAAACCTAGCTTACAGCTGAGTTTTGGGGATCTTATTTTATGGCAGTCTGGCATGGAGATGGGCTTTTTTCTGGCTCTAAGACACCAACATTTCAGAGGCAAAATGCATGGTTCAGTGGCTGTGGGACTGAAGTGTGGATGGTGGGATAATAAGAAGGAACAGAGTATTGGTGGGACAGCTGGAAGGAATAAAGGATTGGTGACCTGGCTAAGGGTTAGGGGTGAGGGCTGGTAGTGGGTACAGAGTTGGCAGGTACTTGGGTTTCAAGGTCCTAAGGACCCTGGTGAAGCTAAGACAGCTAACAACTGATAAAAGGCATATGCTCCCCATATAGGTTTATTAGGAGTGGAGTTAGTTGGGCAGCAGTAGATATTGCTGTATGAAGATAATTTGTAAGTCACAGTTATAAATAGGGAGTTCCTTGTGTTTGGTGTGTCACTCACTGTAAGTATAAGTTCAATATTAAAGTAACTTTTTTTCAAAAACAGGTTTTAATGTGGAAACTGTAGAATATAAAAATCTGAAGTTCACTATTTGGGATGTAGGTGGAAAACACAAATTAAGACCATTGTGGAAACATTATTACCTCAATACCCAAGGTAAGAGGAGAAAAAATGACATCTTAATTTTTCAGATTTTTAGGATGCCAGTTTTCAGTATATTGATTTAATTAGTAAAGCTGGTATTTAAGCATTTATTAAATACTGACTATACCCTTAAATACTGGTGGCCAGCCCACATTATTAAAAAAAAAATGAAGGTGGAAAGACTGGGATATGTACTTAAGTATAGTTCATGAAAAACCATAATTATAGCATAAAAACAATACTTAGCTTAGACATGTAGGCAGTTAAAAGTACTTACCTCTTGCTGTTACATTATTGTCATGGGTATGATCTCTGGCAGTATTGTGGAGTATAGTAGAATTTGTGGTATGTGGTTCTGCTGCTCAATTCAATTCAACATTTATCCCATTATACTCCATTTTCATTCAAAGTTGTTATATGCAGAACTGACAGTGGTTTGCTTTTGACCAGGCTGTGTTACATCACATGTATCCCACCTAGCCTTTGTTTACATTGGGCCCGTTCTACGCTTCTGCCTCCTATGCCCCAATATGAAGCTTACATTCATGCCACCTGTTCCATATGTCATCGTGCTTTCCACCTAGAAGAGAGACTAGATAATTATTTTTACTTTGCAATTTTTTATATTGAGTTTAGTATGAGCCAGTGATTAATGGGGAAAAAAGGAATTTTGATCATTAGGAATGGTTAAAAGTCTGAAGATGTTTAGCTACCATAAAGTAGATGGAAAGATTTCAAGAGTATCCATTCAATAAATATTTATGAAGTTTCTGCTGGGTGTTTTGAGTACAATCTATGTGGAGAGTGCTGTGCTAGGCACCTAGAAAGAGTACTTTGGAGAGATAAAGATGGTCATTGATTAGTTTTTAAAGGACTGTCTTTTGGTAACAGTAATAGTAATCAAAGAATAAGTAGCATCAGTAGGTAGATTCTGAGAGGTACCTTTTCATTCATTAAGAGTGCCATAATATATTAATGAGAGCATTAAAATGTTTGGCCCATCTACTGAAACTTAACAGGCGACTAACTGAAGTTTTCTCATTTTGTTGGCAGCTGTTGTGTTTGTTGTTGATAGCAGTCATAGAGACAGAGTTAATGAAGCGCACAGTGAACTTGCAAAGTTGCTAACAGAAAAAGAACTCCGAGATGCTTTGCTCCTGATTTTTGCTAACAAACAGGTAATACATTTGTACTTCAGTATACTTATTTTAGTAGTTTTGTGCACTTCACATCATAAGGTAGCTGGAAATATTTCAAAAGAGAAATAATTCATAGATATTTATGCATTTTCTGCTGTATATTCTAAGTGCTATGTGCAAAGTGCTATGCTTCGTACCCTGGAGTGTTCAAAAATAAGGTAGTTGCTCTCCGGAAACTCCAATGTGTAAGTAAACATGTGAGTGAATATATATGAGTTTCTAATACAAAGAAAATTGGTAAGTAACTTCAGTAACATTAACAAAGTGTTACGGCCAATTACGGAGTGTATTTCCAAAGGTGACATCTTGTAAGATGTGTAAAAAAGTGGGATTTGGGTTGAAATTATGGATAAGACTTTGAATTAGTATATAAAGGAAAGAACATTGCAGGCAGAGAAAAGAAAAGCATTAGTATTTTTAGGGAGCATCAAGTGGACCTGTATGTGAGGAGCAGGTAGAGGAGGGAAATCTAGAGCAGATGAGGCCACACTGTGAAGGCCTGACAGGACCATACCGAGAAATTCAGGTTTTATTCTGTGAGCAAAGGAGAACCATCAGAAGGTTTTTGGATTGGTTGGTTATAAGATCACGTCAGTGTCTTAAGACGGTAATTCTGGGGGTAGGATGTAGGATTAATGAAGGGCAAGGGACTAGAGATAGGAAGACGCCGTAACTGGTGTAGGAGTTCACGTGAGAGAGTTAATAAGATCTCTATTTAGAGGGATACACGTGCAGCAGCAGATTGAGGACATTTTATGGTGGTAGGATTGTTAGAATTTAGTGACCAAATGGGGGGAGGAAGGATGGGGTAGCTCGAGAGTCCTAGATCTTCAGCCTAAGTTTCTAGGAGGGTCAAAATGGTTTAAGTGCACAGAGCGGCTTAGATGTTAGGAGGAGGAGTAAGAGGAGGGATGTAGGATTTTCCCCTTAATTTTTAAGAAAAGGCCAAAAAAAACCTGATACGCTTTGCTATACTTATGGTTAAAGAAATACAAATAAGACAAAGTGAAATACCATTTTCCAAGTATCATATTGTGAAAGACAAAAATCTTTGAGAGTTGTCAGACTCACATACACTACGGTGTGGTTATTAAACAATTTTCTCAGAGGGCAATATGGCAATACCTGTCAAAGTTTTAGATGCATATACCTTCTTACCCTGTACTTCTACCTCTAGTAATATATCCCTCAGACAAATATCCTAAGGTTATTCTATGGATACTTTTGCAAGTATTATGTATGTAAAAAATAAATATATGTGTATACGTATGTATTTGTAATAGCACATAAGCACACAACTTCAGGACCGGTAAAGATGATTACGTTGCACCTACACAGTGGAATGCAATTCAGATGTTAAAAATGTGGAAAATCTCTATGTCCTGATAATGGAAAGATAGCTATATTCAACATGTATGTTAAGTAGAAAACAACAACAAAAACTAGAGTATGTGTTCCTTTTTGTGTTTATTTGCACGAATGGGCATGGAAATTTTCTGGAAAATTTTGGAAGAGATGATTACTGGTGGTTGCTTCTGGGAAGTAGGGTTGTTCAGAAGTGTTCAGAATAGTAGTTTAATAAACTCTTCATTTTACAAACTCTATGTAAAAGCTATTTTTAAACTACATACACATTAATTTTTCTTTTAAATTGATGCCTTATAATGACTCAGGTATTATCTTTCATTCAGACTGCTGGCTTTTATTGATCTCATTGTAAGGCTATTTTTATAAACAATATATAATATAAATAAGTAAATGATTTTAACCAAAACTCTAATTTTTGCTAGTTTTATTAATCTCAGAAAAATTACTGAAAGGTGAATCTAGGTTTTTAGATTAGGCTTTGGTTAGAATGGTACCAGTAGAATTCTTTATAAAATGGTAATAATTAGAAAAATGGTAATATTGATGGACTGAGTTTTAAAAAATTCTGATGTATGTATATCTTTCAGGATGTTGCTGGAGCTCTTTCAGTAGAAGAAATCACTGAACTGCTCAGTCTTCATAAACTGTGCTGTGGCCGTAGCTGGTACATTCAGGGCTGTGATGCTCGAAGCGGCATGGGGCTCTATGAAGGGCTGGACTGGCTCTCGCGGCAACTTGTGGCTGCTGGAGTATTGGATGTAGCTTGATTTTAAATGCAGCAGTTGTTTCAGGTTTTGTGGTTAAGAGTTATTTTGCACATAATATGTTGTAAAATTCTACATCTCAAAGATAGTTAATTTAGGATATGCATATGAAATGAATCTTGGATTGGGGATTCAGTCTTGTATTGCTTTACAAAAATTATTTTGTAGCAAAATTTAAGTATCTGATTGAGCAAATTAAATTGGATTAGTAGGGATTTCCTGAGTTTACACCTTTTAGAATGTGCACGTGTCATTTGAGTCTTTCAGATTGTATGTGACCACATACTGAGAGAGGAATAGTTACAGGGGGTAAGTGAGGCTATTCCTACATCCCACCGAGCGCCTGCAGCCAGTGCAGCGTGGCCTAGCATGCTCTCTCACTGAACGTGGCAGCGTTTAGTAGTGAGAACGGCAATGATTTGATGAATTAGAATCCACAGATTGCATCTTTGGGTAATAGGATTATTTTTATCTTTAGCATAACAGAACACCGTTAATGCTAAGACTATAAGCTATAGAAAATTAATATTTTATACAGTGTTTTATTAAAACTTTCTCCTAATGCATTTTGTATAAAACCCAGTGAGTCAGAATGAAATGTTACCTAACTAGGCGTGATTGTAAGATTAGTACTAACCTGAAGAACAATTAATAATAAAACTGTGAAAGTCAGTTACGTTCTAGTTGATCTTCACTTATGAGAGACATTTCCAGGGCTGAACCTGGATGTATTATTTCCTAGGTTAGAGCTCTAAACTAGTCCTTCTATTTTTTCAGCATATTTAAAGTAGTTAGTGTTTCTTTTGAAAATAATATTGCATCCTTAGTGAGAATGACTATACGTAAAAGGTAGTAAATTACACAAAGAACCAGGGTTGGCTTTACATAAAAGAGAGACATCTAAGTAGAAAACTTTATCTTAAGTCATTTGAACAAGAGGGAAGGCTTTTTATATCATTTAAAATGTTTTCCCAAAGTGCGTTTATCTTGACAATAAAACGTGATCTTGTCTAGGCTCTTTGTGACAAGGCCTTGAAAAGTTAAGAGAAAATGCATGTCTAAGAAAGGAAAAGAAGAAACGTTGAAAAAGTTTACATCACATTTATTATGCAGTGTTGAGAGTAAAAATGTTGTGCTCTTGTTTTCATATTTTTAGGATGTTCTCTTATTATGGCAGTACAATTTATTATATTTAAACAAAACTAGATTGGATTTTATGGATTTTAATCCTTACCAGAGGACATGCCTAGAAAGAGGAAGGGAGAGAGACATCAGTGTGAGACGGAAACTTGATCGGTTGCTTTCCATATGCTCCCTGACTGTGAATCAAACCTGCAACTCAGGTTTGTGCCCTGACCAGGAAACAGACTTTTGGTGCACAGGGCGATGCTCAACCACCTGAGTCACTGCAGCCGGGCGGATTTCATGGTTTTTTAAAAAATACTTTTTATATTTTAGGATGAAGTTCAATCATAAATCTTAGTTGAACTACTATGAAGACATTGATGTCTGATGACAAGATGTGACTTGGTGGTACTGTTTTGGTTCAGTTTCTTCAAATGTATTTTTGTTTAAAAACAACAAAACTTTTAGAAAATAAGCATTAAAAAAAAAAGCCCATCAGTGTTATGGGCAATGTGTAAATAAGTAAATATAATAATTATATTGTCCTTTATTTTTCAAGTAAAAGGTCATGCTGTTACAAGTATAGTTTGTTCATATAAATACTACTTCTGAATTAAGTTATTTAATATTAAACTGATTGCAATAACTGTGAAAAATAAAAAAGGTGTTACATTTACCTGTGAACCCTTGAACTGTTTTCTCTACCAGGTAATTGAAAGAAAAATGTTTAACACTAATATGTAAACTTGCTTTCCTGTAAATTATTTTTATTTCACCAGTTTTGTTAACCTTTGTAATTCATATTCTTAGCATATTACTAAACAATTTTTAAAACTGCTTAGACCTGATTATAATGTACATAATAGTAGTGTTTGTGTGTGATTTCTTTTTAAGAAACATTTTTCTTAGGCTGTTACTACTATTTGTGGTTGTGTTCTTTTACTATTAAGATTGTGCTCGTTCTCTCTGGGAAATGTCAAATTTAAGAATAAGAAAGAAATGTTAAACACATTCTATTAGGACTTGATTCCTAGCTCTGAATTTCTGTATTAAGCCTACATATTACTGTATAATGTATGTAAAGCAGGTTTTTCAAGTGTATAGCCCTGGTCTGTAATTCTGGAATGCTTTATAATCACCAGAAGCCATTTTTGCATTATACATACGATCAATGTAAGCAATAAACTGTTACAATCCTTTTAAAGAAGTCCTATCATTATTCTAAAAATTCTGTTTCTTGAGCCATCTATCTAGTAGTAGTGCTAGTAACCAATTTAAAGTCATATTTGCATTGTGGTTAAGAAAAACAAAAAATAGGATAGGGACTCATGTCAAATTTGAGATATAGTATATTAAAGATTTAGAGAACAACTTGTATTTGCAGTGTAAATTACATTTTAATGAGTATTATAACTGGTATTTTGAAAAGAGCTAAAATTTTGCATTGAACAGTTTATTGCTTTTTAAATTTAACCTTGTTTCATTTGAGAGCATAGCATTTTATTTATTATATCTTTATTGATTTCAGAGAGAGGAAGGGAGAGGGAGGGAGGGAGAGAGAAACATCAATGATGAGAGAGTCATTGATTGGCTGCCTCCTGCACGCCCCTGACTGGGGATCGAGCCCGCAACCAGGGCATGTGCCCTGACCGGGAATCGAACCCCGATCGCCTGGATCCTAGGTTGATGCTCAACCGCCGAGCCACTCCGGCCAGGCGAGAACATAGCATTTTAAATAACGGTTTTAGAAAATGGCTTGAAAAACTTAGCTCTAGCCTATGAACTAACTGCCAAAAGAAAACCTTTTATCTAACACTGAGACACTGCTCCATTTGCAAAGCAGGAGGAGGGAAGAAGACAGCTGTACTCTTCTGCACAAATGGGTGAAAAGGACTAATAAGTGTCAGATGGTTTCCTGCCAATAATTTAAAACAGGCTTTTAAAAAAGACCTACTGCCCTGGCCGGTTTGGCGCAGCGGTTAGGGCGTTGGCCTGCGCACTGAGGCGGCCTGGGTTCAGTTTCAGCCAGGGGCACGTACCTTGGTTGCAGGCTTGGCCCTGGTCGGGGTGCGTGTGGGCAGCAACCAATCGATGTCTCTCTCACATCGATGTGGTTCTCTCCCTCCCCCTTCCACTCTCTCTGAGAAGCAATGGAAAAACATCCTCGGGGGAGGATTAAAAAGAAAAGACATCATCTGCCAATTTGTGTGTTAGGTCTACTGAGTATGTTAAATTTGTGACATGGAGTGGAAAAATTCATAATCAAATTGGATTTTCACTCGAAGCAAAATGATAGTATTTTGAGGGAAATGAGGCTTCACCACCACTTGGTGGCAGTATTGCCAAAAATTTAGGTTTAAGTCTTTAGGGATGAATACCTGCTAGGTAGAGAAGTCTAAACACCTAAAACTAGGAAGGAATGGTAAGTGTCACAGTGAAAAGTCAGTTTATGCCCAACTTCGAGGTGCCCTTTGTAGGAGGGGGACACAGTCTTCAAGCACATGCTCCATCACAGAAGCCTGTGGTACAAAAGGAACAAAGGAAACATCCTGCTGGTCAAAACGAAAAGTGTAAGCTGGAACGTAAAGCAGGAGATCGAAATCCCTAAGCACGTCTGTTGAACAGGCTCCCCCTACAAGATCCTGAAGAGTCTTTCCAGAAATTAGACACGGTAAGTTCTTAATAGTTATAAAGTTACCAGGGTAAGCGAAGAGATCAATACAAGACTTTGGATTCATTGTTTTACTGCTCCAATTTCTACTAATCTCTCATCATATACTAAAATTTTTACTCAATATGTATTTTTTGATGGTATATTTAGTAAGGCTAAGAAAAGAAATACTATAAATTGACAGAAAAATTAGCTACATTAGTGAATCTGATTAGTGAATTAGAAATAGTGAATCTGCCCACAAAACCAAGGTCTCAGGTATTCACTTACTATATTTGAAGGAATATTTTATAATTATTAAGGAATTTAACACTTTTGACTAAAGGGCCTACTTATTTACTGAAGTTTTACTTACCACTACTTACAACTTAATGATCAATAGACAAAACTATTTGGCATGGAACACAAACCTTGTAAAAGAAAAGAAACAGTATATACTATCAGATCCTTTCTTCATGGGTCAAAAGAAACGTGAGGGCAGATTAACCGGCATGTTTTAAAAAGCTAAGGAACAAAGGCATACTACTCTCGTTATTTACTATGGTTTTGAATCTAGTGAGAAATTACATATGAGGAGTGCTATTTTGCCTGAGTTTAGTCCATTTCAATTTTTCACCTCCTAGATGAGAAATACTGCAAGGAAAAGGCAGTGTTTTAAAAAATGGCCTTTAATGAAAAATATAAAAATACAATACTGCAATCCTTGAAACATGATTTGTATGTTCAGCAAGTCTTAGGAGATTCCCAACGTAAAATAATCCTGTGTTTACTATATGTGTGTTTTTATTTACAAATACAATAAAACATCCGATTTTACTTGACAGTAATATTTATGATGCTGACATCCTCATAGGGCTTATCTGTTTTGGGATTGACTTTGACGTTGGAGATCCTTTGTACAACTTCCATTCCTTTAGTCACTCTTCCAAATACCGTGTGCTTATTATCAAGCCAAGGCTGTGTTGGAGTACAAATGAAAAATCTTGGTAAGCCAGGTTTCTTAATTCACACCCTCTGGGTGAGCAAATTAAAGAATTCAAATTTATGCTTTACTTTTTATGTAATTAAAAAGATTTACAGTAATTTCACTTAGAAGATTTTAAGAGTAATTTCCATGTTTATAAGAAAAATATAAAAGCATAGTATAATGTTTAAATATCTGCATCTTTCAGACCAAAGGGAGCTGGAACGTGTTTGTTAAAGGCAAGATTCTTTGCATAGTTTAAAGAATTATGGCTAAGGCTTTAAAAGTTCTCTGCAGGAATCCTACCCGCACAATTAAAAGGTAACTGGAATAGTTTCAGCAGCATGTGCTTTGGCATCAGATGCTGGCTCTGCTACTTGACCTTCCGCAAAGCAAATCAGTCATGTTTGTTTCCTCATCTATTATTTAAAACTGGGTATAGTGATACTAGAAGTATTTTAAATATTACACAAGACTATGTGCCTGGCAGATAGTAGTTATATTTTTCCTTCATTGCTTAGTACTTAATTCCAAAATATAAAGTGTATAATTTTTATAATTATGTGGAACTGCATAGCAATAGAGCTAGATATTCTTATACTGTATTCCATCAAATCTACAATGCCATCGATTATTGGGTTGCATTCTGATTTCAGAGATATAAAAATGTGGGAGAAAATGTCTTAAAACCAGGAATTCATATACTCTAATCCTGCATTCTAAAGATGAGGAAACAGGACCAGGGGTGAAATAATTTGTTTTGAACTGTACAAAACAATAATAGTGGCAAAGATGACTAAAACTTAAGTGTCCTAAATTACAGAAGCACCGTATTACAAAATAAATCTGATTTGTTAGGTAATTTTATATTTTCTTATCTAAACTGTTTTCATTCTTACATCCTGGCAGATATAAATAATGGTACAGAATAATGCATCTTTCTCTTCCACTGAGTTCACTCTTAGATTATAACCTATGAACCTGTGGCTTACACATAATGCTCTTCTACTCACCGTTGGCACTACAGTTATGAAAAACTGAGATCCGTTAGTATTAGATCCAGCATTAGCCATGCTGAGTGTATATGGTCTGTCGTGTCGTAATGTTGAATGAAATTCATCTTCAAATTCTCCTCCCCATATGCTTTCTCCTCCCATACCAGTACCTGTTGGATCTCCCGTCTGAATCATGAAGCCCTTCACAGAAAGTAAACAAAAAAACATATTACATTGTCCTTTTCTATATGCATGTTCTGGAGTTATGTTTGTCAAGAGTGCTTTGTATTCAATAAAATTGTAAGTTAACAGTCACTCTTTAAAATTTTATTAAACTCTTAGTAAGTTACACTTTAATTTGGATGATATACTTCTATTGCTCAATTGCTACCTAATTTAAAATAAAAATGCAAAGGTCTTCTCATTTATAGACATGTATATCTTCCTCAATAATCTAACCAAAACTAATAGTGTAAATAAGTTTCAGGATCTGTATAGTATATTAGATCTTACATAATTGCCGAATTCTTCTCTCCTTCCTCTCCCTAAACACTGGATTTTCTGGATTCCATTTCATTAATTCCTCTAGAGCCCTGAAGTTTGACTTTTCCTCCTGACATTCTGACCTGTCAGTAACCAAGAACTACATCAGTTTTATGGAATGCTGCCCAACAAAAGCCTGGGCAGAGTTCATTCTGCTCTTCAGGTATTAATGTGGTTCTCACAGATTAAGTTGCACCTGGGCTCTTCTATTATTTAAAATCTTTTCTTCTAGACCTAGAATTTACCTAGCCACTAGAAACAGGTTGCCCTGGCTATTGGTTTTATCTCAGCATGACCCTTTACTCAGCATGTGACCTTGTTTTCAGCTGTTGATAAAGTATTGCTGCAGTGTTTCTAAAAAGATAATTATGCTACTATTCCTGTTCTCAATTCTGGATCTGATATTCGTGACCATTCTTCTTTTGGCTTCCATAGTCCATTTTTCCTATTCCCTTCTAATAAACTGAGAGAATGATATGCCTTAGGTTTAAACCTCTTGTTATGTAATAATACACGGTTCCTTAAATAATAAAATTTGCATAACTTACCTTAATTATACGGTGAAATGTATGTCCATTATAATAACCATTTCTGCTGTGGACACAGAAGTTTTCCACTGTCTTAGGGCACCTAAAGTAAGACATATATTAAGAATATGAAATCTATTCAGAGTATGTAACATAATTTCTTGCAGTTCTGCATCCTAATGGTATTTTCAATATCATCTGAATGTTTCAGAAGGACAGTCTTTTTTTAAAAACCTCTTCTAATATGAGAGAAAACAAGAGTTGAAAGGGCATATAAGCGGTAGTATATTATTATTGTTTAGTAGTATATTATAGTTTAATGTAGTATCTTTACATCAGGATTGCTTGTTATAATTGAGTTTGACAATATTTAGATTTCAAGGTTATTTAGTTTAAAAAACCACCATAGCACCTTAAAATATATACAATCTGATCTATATGGTGGGTTAAGTTCCCAAGAAAGATAATTTTCTCATAAAAACAATGTTATGGTACTGTGATACATTCCTGACCAAGGACTTATTTACTGAGATACTATTTCAGTGAATCAACTTTAAGTGATAATCAGACACACTGAATATGAAGCATTCTAAATAATATTAACTAACCCCACAGGATGATTTAATGTGGTACATTATCCTGTAATAGCTCTTAGAGCTCAGAATGGAAGGGAAAATCAAGAGAATTTTCATGAAGTACATCAGGGAGCAACAGGCTTAATGGGGTACATAGGTTTTAAGCACTTGAAATGAGATAGTCCAGGAGTTGAGACCTACCTAGTTCTCTGTTCAGTACCAGGGAATGGTATGATAAAACATTCATATCCAAAATAACTAAGTATTTTTAAGTAAAGGTGTTAGAAAAGGTGTCACCTTTTGAATCAAGACTAGCCAGAGGTACTTTAGTGTATTTGGTATTTGCATGCTCATTTTGAAAACTTTTAAACTGTTCAGAATACTCTTCTGCTTTTTTCAATGGAATACTCTTACACGTTTTATTGGAATTCGTTTTCAAAAATAAGGCTAGTGGGTCTAAGGAAAAGGAGGTAGATGCCCAGCAATTGTCAAGAAAGAAAAATAATTATCCTCCCCTTAACGATCTGCTTTGAGAGGAAAGCCAGTTATAATAAGCGAGCAACAAATCTTATACTTGGGATGTGCAGTTAATGGTAATAGTAATATATATTTGTATATCACTTTTTAGGTTCATTCAGCACTTTCACAGCAAAGATATTCTGTCTTCATATTTTATAAACCTGTTAAGTATGTGTATGTATGTATAAAAATTTCCCTTTTTCCAGTGGAACAGTTATCAGAAATCTCAGGCTTGATGCTCTATCAAACACTTCAATTCTTCAAAATTCTTTAAGTCAAAATAAAAATTCTAAGTTGCACATTTTCTTCAAATATACACATTTCCATTGGTGGTTTAGACAACAAAAACAGTACATACTCAACAGGAAAAAGTTTGATGTGAATGTCTCCCATGCTTGTGTGGATAATGGCACTATCTGAAACTCGTTTGGGTCCTTCAGCCTGAGTAGCTGCCATGACTTCCTCTTTAGAAGGTTTCTCATTAAAAACATCTCGGTCAGAATCTGCACTTTTTGTATCTTCTGGTTCTCGTTTGGTAAACTAAAGGAGGAAAATAAAAAGTGAGTGAATTAAATTTTTCATCTGGTTAAAATTTATGATCAAGAAATTTCATTTCTATTTAAGTATTTGAGGAAAGTATGAGTTCATATCAAAATAAATCCTTATTTCAGGAATCACTTCCTATCACCTCAGGAGTCACTGCGTGTGTAAGGCAGTTAAATTATTTTTATACTTATATGAAAATAATCTATATAACGAAGATGTATGATTTTAAGTTGGACTTAACCCTTTGTGGTCGTTTGTCTACTCTCAGCCACTAAAGCTTTTTTACCGTTCCGGTCGTATGTCTACTCTCAGCCACCAAAGCTTTTTTACTGTTCTGGTCGTATGTCTGCTCTCAGCCACCACAGCAAGGAACCATATGAATCTTAACTCCATTCATGTATCAGTTCATAATTTCTCTGAAAGCTCTTAATTCCGACCAGTACGACACCCATGTCCAAATTTAATACGACCGCAAAGGGTTAATATCCTTTTGAGCGGGAATTTTTTGGGGAATTTAGGAAGATGCAGGGTTTTTTCGTAGGGCTTTACTTCTGCCTTCTACCATGTCCTAACCTGCCACCTGTTGTCTACTTTTCTCTCTTTAGAATTCCTGGGTTTGAAGTCCAGCTCTGTCATTTACTAGTTATGTGACTTCAGGGAAGTAAACTATTTCTTACATTTCCTCATTCATAAATGGAAATAATAATAACTACCTCAAAATGGTACCTGTCGTGAAGATTACATGAAGGGATGTAAACTGCTTAGAGAAGAGTGCTTACTGTATAGAGGACACTGTATACATAGTAATGCTTGCTATTATTATGAGTAAGATATTATGAGCAGGACCTGGTGCTAGGTAGGATGAGCATTCAAAGATAAATCAGTAATGAATCTTGATTTTTTTTTTGCAGAGTCTCAGTGGATATACCTAAACCCTGAAGCTTGGGAGAAAGAATACAAACTTTGGGTGAAGTTACAGAAACCTCAGGATCCACGGGGTATAGGGAGAATTGAGAAAAACCTTCAATTGTTAAAACTCTGGATTTTTCAAGCCCTGTTTCTTTTATTTGACTCTCAGTAAGTAGGAATCTTTCCTCCCAAGAAAGCTCTACCTGATGCCAGCTGAGTTCCAGGAAGGTAAAGCTCGTGCCCAGGCCCTGTCTTGCCTAACAGCATTCCTTGGTCCAACAGAATAGATTCCAAATAACCGAACTAGGACGTGACTGCCTTCACATCTTACTCTCCAGTTTCAAAGGAATGGCATGTCTGTTATACTATTCATATGAATTTTTAAATATTCTTGAGCTAAATTATCTTGATTTAGCTCACATATAAAACTACTAAAGTTCAAATTTTGTAAAATTTTACTTTTATTTCAAGATACTGGATTTGAAAATAGAAATGTATATATACCATTTTAATTTTGCTTACGAATATGTACATCTAATAAACCTGAAAGATAATTCATGAAAATGTTAGCTGTATAAATGCACTGTGAGTGACTTATTTTGTTTTTCTATTTCTTCAGAGTTTAAGAGGAACATCTGTGGTTTAGTCAACATAAAAGTAAACTCTGGGGAAAGAAAAAGAAAACTTGTTAGTTTTTTAATAAAGTGGTTGGAAAATTATATGTTTTTAGTGTATATCAAAAATTATCCTCTGTGATTTTTACCTTCAAAACTGTTAAATTATAGGTAAAAACAAGAAAAATTATTTTAACACATATTAATATTTAGCAATGACTTTGAAAGTTATAAGAAAAATTCTCACCTTAAAAGAATGTACCCACTCTAGGTTAAAGCTTGGTTGGAATAGGGAAACTGCTCTTTCCTACATGTATCAAATGCTGGTAACCTTAACAGCACCATAGCTGCTTATAATATGTCAGATGAATAAATGAATATACTATAATGGGCCACTGTGGATTTAATAGTGAAGAAAACACAGTGCCTATATTTACGGATTTTATAGTATCATGAGGAGGAGATGACAGTGTCAGCAAACAAAAAATATATCAGCAAATTATTCCAAAAAATGGGACACCAACACAACCAGGCACACCTAATCCAGACTTGATGTCAGAGAAGGCTTCCAAGCTGGGATCTGAAGTATGTGTAGGAGTTTGGAGCTGTGTGTAGCTGGCAAAAGAAGAAGCCTGTGCAAATGCTTAGATGTAAAAAAGAAGACAACTTATCACAAATGAGATCAAGTTCAGTGTGGTCAATGTAACAATCAACTAAAAGTGAAGGATGATACACTAGGAGGGGCAGTAATAGAGACAGCTGGGGAGTCAGGCACTTGAAGTCATCAATAGGTTCTTGGAAATGGGGCTTTAATCACAATTATGAAAAACAAAAACAATGTGTAACAAAACCAATCTTACCACAGGATAATTGACATAAACGAGTTAAGTTCCTATGGCATTACTTCTGATCACAAAACCATCGCCAAACTTCTAAATAAAGACCCAAAACACTTCAAATATTAAATACTGAAATTAAACATTGACATAAATGTGAGCTATACATACGTTAACGGAAGATTAGTAAGAACCAGTGAGATGATTATTTTCCCTCCTCCTGCTTATTGCGGTTCTTGGTACTGGGTGGCTAGAGCCTATCCCTGCAGCTCAGGGCTTAAGGTGGGAATCAAGCCTGGACAGGACACCGTTTCATCGCAATGCATAATGACTCCCACCCCTCCACTCACTCGGACGGGGGCAGTTCAGAAATGCAGCTAACCTAATGTGTACATCTTTGGGATGTCAGAGGAAACGAGTTCCCAAAGAAAACACACACAGATATGGGGAGAATGTACAAAACTCCACACTGACAGTAGTTCCAGCTGGGAATCAATTTTTTTTCTTTCTCTTCAACATTAGAACGAAATGATAATATTTGAGGATCTGCTGTAACCACATTTGGGTCTTAAAAAAGTCTCTAACTGCAGTGTGAAGGACAGAATGCAAGGGCAGAGGTCTCTGCTTGGCTGAACAGTTAGGACAATGCTACTTCTAAATAGCTTAGAAGTTTGACTTTGAGCCCCATTTTAATTAACACGCAAAGTACTTTTAATTCACTAGGAAAAAATTACTCAGGAATATACAATTCTAAGGTAGCAACATTACAATGGAGTCAAAAGGTTAAAAAAAATGTGTTTGGAGAAGAAAGTGTGCAAGTTCAGGGGAGATAAATTATGTAAAAGAGTTAAAACTGTAAAATAATAAAAACAGAGGAATTTTTAAAACCCCATAAAGACTGTTTTGGATTCAATTATTACCATAACCACTTACTTCCTATCATCTTAGACAACACAAATAGTTATACAAGCCAGGCTGAAAAATTTTCCAAACAGAACAGAATACAATACAGAAATACTTAAAATCCAGCACTAGTTAAAATTCTACAATATTAATGCTGTAAGGTAGTATTCTGGTTGTTCAGAAAGTCTGCCACTATTGCCGACATTCTCTCCAGTTCAAAGTACAAGCTAAGAAAATAACACTCCAGCCAAACTGGAAGAAACATTAAGGTCCATCTCTTAGTACTTCCACATACCATATAAAATCTATTCTTCTTGAAAGACGTACAGACTATGGTTGGGTCAGCTTGAATATTCTGAAGAACAGGGTTTTCAGAAGCCTTCATTTCTATAGTAGCTGCAGCACGATGTTTTTTGGCTACTCCCTGGAACAAAGCCAATTGCATCACCCTAATGTTTTCTTGCTTGCCTAAGATCCGCACACACCTGAAAATAGAATGTTTTATATAATAAAATTTTTGGAATTAACTCGTTATAACATCTTTACAGATAAAAGCTGGGAATCAGCTATCCTTTATCTTTGTACAAAATAACTAATGAAAGGTTTTTAAAAAGTGCTTCTTTACCCCCTCCCTTTACTTAAAGTTATTTAAGTAACTTTAAATAAGTTACTTAAAATTGGTAGGCAGCTACAATCTTCTGGTTAAAAATATATAATCGTTCAGTCATACAGTTTTAACCTATCCCCATTATTTTAATTTATCTGCAAACCTTCAAAGATTTTGTATTGCTAAGAACAAATATAAAGTTGTTTATATGTGAGAATGTACAGCACAAGATTTTTTCTCCTTAAAATACACCTTAAGTTCTTATTTACCTTCAGTGATAGTATCTGATTGTAGCTATTCTGTACTAAGACCAAATGGACTGTTGCACAAAAGGCTTATTGTGGTTTCATGCATTTTAAGTCCTGATTTTATGTCTAGCAGGATGTAATGCCGAATTCTGTGGTTAAAATATTTGGCAACATTTAACATGAACCAGGCTAATTTAAATCAATAAGCAAAAGACAGACTATAACTTGTTAAAAAAAAACACAAAAAAAAACCCTTGAAACTATGCATATCTTCTTTCCATTTCTTTTACAAACATGAGTGGAAACTTTTTACATAAGAGTATAAACAACAGAAAGACCACAGAAAAATCCAGTCAAAACATTTGGTTAAGTTTAGACATTTGGGACCATTCCACTTGTCTTGGAACAAACAAAACTCCCATTGTTTCCCTGAAGGAGGAAATGGTCCCCAATAAATGCGTTTTTTAAAAATATACATCATATTAAAACTTACCGGTTTGTTTCTACATTTATAACTTTAATGCCCAGCATTGTTCCATATAGCACAAAGTGTCCAGTTTCATCAAAAACTATATTAATTAATCTCACTGCATCCACCTTCTCCAACTCACGTTCTACAGCCATTCGTCGGCCAAATTCCATGTCTGGTAGCTGTTGCCTCATTTGCTGTAGTTCAGTAAACATCTAGGAAACAAACCACTTATTAACAAAAAAGCTACATAATAAAGAAAATGAGAATTCAAATAGAAGCAGAGTATACATTAAGAGCAACTGACAGTTTGTGTACTTACATGTCTCTTATGGAGGATTCTAAACACTATAAGCAGGAAATAAAAAACATGTTCAACCATAAAAAAATAATTTACACTAACTGGTTCTTCTAATTAAACAAAAACAAACCAGTTAGCCAATATAATTACTACTTTCTCTATAGAAACAACAATATTTCTGCTGCCTTTTATAAGCTATAGACTAGCACTTTCTAGTAGACATATAATGCAAACCACATAAGTAATTTAAAATTTTCAAGTAGCTACATTAAAAAAAGTAAAAAACAAAACAGGTGAAATTAATGTTTTATTCAACCCAACACACTCAAAATATTAACATTTAAACATTAAGCAATTTAATAAAATTGAGATAGAATTACATTGTTTTCTTATATTAAGTCTTTGAAATCGTATTTTATACTTTCAGTCTATCTCAATTTGAAATAGCCACATATCAAGTGTTCAAGAGCCACATGTGGCTAGTGGCTACTATACTGGGTGATGCAGCTATAGGCTGTCCTTACATAAGGATCATGGGGCCTGACATAATTAGCACTCAATTTTTTTCTCCTTAATCCTCACCTGAGGATATGTTTATTGATTTTAGAAAGATAAGAAGGGAGAGGGAAGGAGGGATGGGAGAGTAAGAGAGATAAACTTCAATATGAGAGAGAAATATCTATGGTTGCCTCCCGAATGTACCCTGACGAGGGATTGAACTGGCAACCTGGGCATGTTCCCAGACGGTGAATTGAAACCTGCCACCTTTTGACATATGGAATGATGCTGCAACCAACTGAGCCACCCAGCTAGGGCAGCACTCAATTTTTGTTGAATGAATAAATTCTTATTATTTCACTAATGTATAACAATTTCATGGTATTTCAGAAAGCGTTTCAAGTTGTGTTGACATGGACTATAATTATAGTTAGACTATCTATAGTAAATATGATGTAGGACAGATGAGTATTTTTATGGGTGCACTTTAGTTTGGAAATTTGGTTTACTTTTTTTAGATAATATACAAAAATAGGGGTCACATCTAATTACTACTATTACACTATAAGCCTCCCAAAAGATATGATCTTTACATTTATTTTTCCAGACATTTACAGCATCAAAGAGCAGAATTCAATAGTTCTCCATTGTAGACAAAAATAAGCCAGACTTATATTCCATCTACTCCCCCCCATGTCTGTGTTAACTAGAAATCTCCAGCTTTTATATATGGAAAGAACAATATACTCCAAAAATCAAAAGGAGGTATGTGTTAGGGAATGGTCCATAGACCAGCAAAGAGCGTGGCCATTAGAGTTCCTTTCCTCCAGTCTCTGAGACTGATACATGTTACTGATTTACATATTCATGTGTCAGAAACAGCCTATATGCTGTTTCTGTAGTGAGGAACCCCTGATTATTTTTGCTAGAGAGAGAATTCAGTTTTAAGATTTAAAGTTTGTAGATGGCATCTGCTTACATATATGTATTTTATAAATGTTAATCCAACCTGATGAGCACATCAGAATCTTTCTAAAGACTTCCAGCCTTACTAGCAGGGCCTCTGTGATCCACAACTGTGTGGCCATATGCAGTGATTCTGGTTAATAAATGCTAAAAGATACTTCACACCATCCAATTAAATTTCTTGTGTGTTAAACTAGGATTCTTCACTGGTTAGAAACTTCCCCCTGTAACATGGAACTGTGAAATTCTGGTCATTTACTAGTCACTAGCATTGTAACTAATTTAACTGACATTTGCCCTTTTTTGTGCAAACTTTCTCATTCTGAATCTCAGGTCCTGTCATAGACTTTAACACTGAGCTCTTTTAACACCTTAGCTCTATCATGTCAACAAATGTTGAAGACAACAATGAATAATAGAGGGGATTGAACAGCTCAGAGTATGTATGCTAAGAGATTTATATCCAGAGACTAAGATTTGAATATTTCTTATCCTAAGGAATCTTAAAAGAGCTGCAAGTTGGTAAAGAGTTTTTAAAATTATATTTAAATTGAAACTAGTATCTAGTTATCAACCACCACTAAAGAAAAAAAAATCACAAAGGTTTCTCCTTTTCTTAAAAGTACAGTGGAAAGCCATCTTCTTCCAACAAGAAAATGCATCATAAGAATGATTTGACTAGCAAACAGAACTTCACATTTGTGTGGATTCACAGTACTTCAGGCAGACAATCCACCTAACTTATTACACTTGCCACAAAACAAGAGTGCCATAAGAGTGACAAAATTTCCGAAGAGCTTAATGCAGGGAATATAATCAGTCACTAGAGAGACTGTAGAGTCAACACTGTCCTACAATAAACATTACTGCTCCAGAGGGTCAACCCAGATGCTTAGAGGGTTCAACATACCATTAGCAGTTAGAGAACCACTTGATGAAAACAGCTGATGAGACCCAAGTCTCCACAAAAACTGGTCAACTTTGCATGGATAAACTCTTACTCTATAACGATATGCTCTAACAAATTTTTAATCCTCACCTGAGGATACTTTTTCCATTGCTTTTCAGAGAGAGTGGTAGAGTGGAAGAAAAATTGATGTGAGAGAAATGCATTGATTGGTTGACTCCCGCATGTGCCCCGACCAGGGACAGGGACAGGGAAGGAGCCTGCAACCAAGGTACATGCCCTTGGCCGGAATCAAACCCAGGACCCTTCAGTCCACGAGCCAACACTCAAACCACTGAGCCAAACTGGCTAGGGCTCTAACAAATTCTTATTAGCAGTAATTATGTGTAATGGGAGAAATGGAGGAAGGGGTCACTCCAGGCAGACAGAACAGGATGCTCAAGAAACTGAAGCAAGGCCTAACTGGCTAGAGTAAAAGGCAAGGAGAAAGGGGAGCTACACTAGGCTGTAATGGTAGGCAAGGGACCACAACATGGCAGGCCGTTATTTTGGTCTTGATCCTAAGAACAGGAAGTCACTGAAAGGTTCAAAGGATGACATGATCAGATACATGTTTTTAAAAGATTACTCTGATGGAGCATGGATAACAGATTAGGAGGAAGCCAGAATAGACACTAGCAGTCAGCCACGTGATAAGCCGGCAAAAGATCACTAACTAGAGTAGTGGCAGGTGTGCTGAAAGGAAATGGATGGATTTAAAGTATATTTAGAAAGTAAAATTGTCAGGTAAGGAAATAGAGTTAAGGATGACTCAGGCTTCTGGCTTCTGCAAGTAATGGACATTGGTGCCACTCATGAAGACAGAAAATAAAAAGACAGTACCAGGTTTGTTCATAATAGAAAACTGGAGAAATAAATTTGGGAATAGTCACAGACAAAAAGGTATGAGTAGAGTGGGAAGAGGGGGTGCCTCAAATGCATTTTGAAGATCTTAAGAGAATGAGCTTGCAAACAAAAAACCGAAAAAACAGATACATAGTAGTAGAATCACTGGCTCAGAAGAAATAAACCTAGGGGACAGAGTTCTGAAGAGCAACAATGCAAGACAGCAGACAACTGGATATTATCTTTAATGTGCTAAGAGAAAATAAATAGCAATCTAAATGTCTATATTCAGAAAACATACCTTTTAAAGCAATAGCACAAGACAAAGACATTTTCAGAAAAGTAAAACATGATTAAATTTAAGTTGCACTTACACTTAGTGATTCATCAAAGACTCTCATGAGTTTTCCAGTTAAAAACCTGAAAATTCTAACTTTTCTATCAGAACCAATTGTAGCTATTTTCTTCCCATCAGGTGAAAAACATATGCTGGTTGGATAAGCCTTGCACTTGGCAAATTCATATAAATCTGTGTCAGTTTTATATTCCCAGTTCACATTTTTGGGGAATTTATATTCATGAGGAGGCCCAGTCCAGTACTCAATCATTCCAGATTTGTCAGAAGACACTACTGCTTTGTAAACTGGGTTTAGCCGTATCTGAGTAAGAGGTGACGTATGGAGTTTGTCAAAAACATGAAGTGGCTGGTTATCTCCTCGACCATCATAAATAAAAATTTTTCCTGTACTCTTCTCAGAAGCAGCAACAGATGATATGGCATCCCCTGGGCAATAGATCCACTCACATTGTCCAGGAAAATAGCTGAAATAATAAATTGAGAGAAAAAGGAGGTCAATACAAGAAGCAAGCATCCCTTCCTACCCTCACCACCAAAAAATGCCCTGGCCAGTGACCAGTGACTTAGCTAGTTTTGGATTCCTTGCTCAAAAAAAGGGCAGAGAGAGATACAAAAAGGGGAGGAACAACTAAGAACAGTCACTAATTTTTCTCTTTCTGACCTTATCAGTGCATTGGTAATAACTTCTGAGGATCTATCAAACTATAAGAAGAGAACTGCATATGGCAGACGATTCACTTCTTTTGGGCAGATAAGGAACCTAGTTTGACCTGGGACTTAAGATAGTCTGGGACATTGCTTTTTGGAACTCTATGTTTCAGTCTATGTATAAACTTACTCTTAAATATGTTAGCATGAACAGTATACGTTATAAATCCATTTTTGAAATACTAAAGCTCAAACGTTTTAGTTATGACTATGCCCAAAAGAAAACCATGCTTTTAACACATTCATTATTGGTAACTTGATCTTAAAACTATAAGCTGTGAACATTCTATCTGATGACCGGAGTATAAAAAAACCCAGTACAGAGTTAATCAATATACCAAATCAATATACCAAACTTATACAGGCAAATGAGTGTTGTCTCCTTCAAAGTAATCAGTCTGAGAAGTTCTACAGTTATTCCAATGATGGTCCTAATGTTCTAAACATTTTGGGACCCTTCTTTCAGAATTTCTATCAAAGCCTAAAAAAAATACTCTTTCAATATCCACAAAGGTGGCAAATGTTCAACATTTATAAATATATTTGATTTTTTAAAATAGCAACATGTCGGGGGGGG